CCTTACAGTGGAGAAGACAAAAAATAATTTCAAAACATGACTTCAGTTCATCACRTTATGATTTTTCAAAACATATTTTCATGATTCCTGTTACATTGTATGAGCCATTTTAAACAGAAAGCTACATTCCCTACTCCTGATSACCTCCCTGCATGCTTACTTCATTCCATTTTAAATTGGATCCCATCAAAAACATRAAGAGATTATTTCTCTATTTTAGCAGACAGAGAGAGAGCAATTGCCAATATTTGCTTAGAGCACTGCACGAAACCATATGACCATATGAGGGCTGAATGTAGCATCAGGGTGTCTTCTTTACTAAAGCTAAAAGCTTTTAAACTTCTGTCTGTGCTTTTGCCCAAACTGGCTAAGAAAGCTGAACCCCCCACATCATTCACATCATTGCATTCCCCTCACAGAACAGGAAGAAGCTCTGTTTGTTTGTGACAGCTCCACAAAARGCCAGTGGGCTTCTCATGTTCTTCTTCTCCCTGCTCATGTTGACCAGAGTCCAACTACAGGCTCTCGACTGCCCTTTTTCCTCTTTGTGCCACGTCTCCGTCCTGTCCCTACTCATGACTTTGTATCTGATGAACCCTCTGATGGAGAGTGGGACTGTAACCTGCCTGGCTAATACTAATACTTCAAGACTTCTTTTAATACTTTTCTAATCTCTGGACTAGTATTCAGAGACTTCCTAGGRCCAGAAGCATATTTCATGCTGGTGTAATTCATATGTAAGAATGGTGTAATTCACCAAATCGGACCCAAGACCTGCCAGCTCACATGAATGATCTTTAAAATTGGGTCATTCTGATTATTATTTTGCATTTCCTTACGTCACTTACATGTTGACAACATATTCAATTACTGCTAATTCAAAAAACTCAGTAAACCAATACTGTGTTTCTCATGGGGACTTACACAGGGCTTAATGGGCAGTTTCTGAGAGACTGCATGAYACAGGGTTAGAAATTTGGGTTTCTGATCTGCTCTGAGAGCCTGTATGTTAAGATCACACGGGGTTATGAACTCCTGTCTCTGCTCTGTTCTTATAGACTATCAGGTATTGCAAAAGACAGAACAGAACTTTGCAGTCATCTTCACTTTGATTTGATTTTTCCCTCTGGAGTTCAGAAAAAAAGTGTCTGTTAATACCATTTCTGATTCCTCAGTCCAGCAGTTCAGTTTTGTTATTGATCCCTGGTAGGATACATCAAGCCTAAGACCACCAAAATCAGTKCAGCAGACAAAAAACATTAAATAACGATAGTGTCAGTATGCTATTTTTAGAGAGAATTTCACAAAATAGCTAAAAGGATCCAGACACATGTCTGACATTGAGAGTGCACTGCAAATAATTGGGATCTCATACATCGGAACAGAAGGTCTTTTTTAATATAGTATCTGCTTTTTAATTGCAAGTGTGCAATTACAGACAACCAGGTGATTCTTTTGGACTTTTTCTAAGACTTGCATTTCAAGTCTGGATCTGAATTTTTCCTTACTTTACCTCTCTTCCTTCCTAATTGTCCTTCACCTGTCTCTCATCCCAGAGAAAGTTCCTTTTAAACACTGTGTAATCATTAACATTTTCCAGTTAAACAGTCCAAATAAAAACATAATCCTTTAACTGTCATTTAAAATCCTAAATTAAATTATTCCATGTAACTGGGTGAGAGGTTGTTTATTCCTTTTGATAGTATACTTCAGGTGATAGATGAAAATGATGTACGGGGAAATGGATTGACTTAGTAGAACTGCCTTGTCATGGTACCAATGCAGGAAATTTCTGTATTACTTAATCTGCTGGTAGTGGAGGGGAAATCCATAGATTAGCCTAGTTTACACTATTGCCTAAAATTAAATTGAAAAACAACAATTCAAAGATAAATAGATACAATCAAAGCCTCCCAACTCTACAGTCTCTGTGTATTAATATCTAAGATTGTTTTTGTTTATATAAGACAGAACAGGAAAACTACCTAAAATTAATTTAATAATCTTTGCCTATTCATACAGAATCCAATCAATTTAAATCACATGATCTATATTATCATGACRTGTCTTCATATTTATCATTTGGGTAGCCCTGTAGATATAAGCAGTGCCTCCAAATCCACTAAAAATGTCCTCTGCTAAGTAGTTAACAATATAATTTGAACAGATGTTTAAGAAGTAGCATATGATTAATGAAAAATAATAGAATGGAACTCAGTAGTGGAAAATTTTTACAAAAACTGTTTTGAAAGAAAGAGAAAGAAGGAAATTGAGTTAGAGATAGCATTTAGATGCTGTTTCATATGGAATGGCACATCGACAGCATATTATATAGTATTTGAAGAGTAATTACACTCTAGCTTTTACATTGTTTTTTTACTTTTTTTTTCTAGATTTACATTGTTTTTGATTAAAGTCACATCTTTTGACCGCTTTGAGAGCAATGTGCACAATTGGATTAACCTGGATAAGATCACATACTAATCTGCAGAAGAAGCTATAATTTGTGGTAAAAATTGAGGGATCTCAGATCAGATGTAGAAGCAAATAATGCTTAAAATTAAGTGCTAAAAAGCTAGTAAAGAAAGAGAAAATCAAAGTTGGAGAACAGGACTTGAAGAGCGTCATTAAAAATAAATGAGAGAGAGGAAGAAAAATAAAGAACAGGTGAAGAGAAAACAAAAAAAATGCTATTTCTGGTAGGAAATGAGGGTAAACTGAACATTGTAGCAATAAGAGTAGAATTCTTAATCTTCTGTTGAACTTATCTGCCATGGATGTGTCTCTGGTGCCTTTCTGYTTGCCATCCAGGTGCTACCTGTGCTGTAATTGGAAGCTGTAAAAGTGGGTGCTCAGCTGTGCCGGCTCTACCCTGTGTTGGATAAACTAAATCTGGGGATATTAGGGATTGAAAAGCCGTGTGTGTGTGCTGAGCCAGGGGGTTTGAGCAGCTGGCAGGATGCTGTGTGTGCGGAGATGAAGCGGCCGTCCAGTGGCCCTGCTGACTCCTCTGCCTCTCCAGGACACATGAGGATCAGTGGGAATCTCAGCAACCCTCCACAGCGGACACRTTCAAAAGGGAGAGGAATGACAACGTTTTCCAACATGGTTTTGCACTGAAACCGGGAGAAACACCCTGTTATTTTGTTGCTGGCTGTGGATCCACTCTCATGTGGTGCCCATCGGGTGCAATTGCAATGGCAGGGCAGGGGCCCTGCCGTCGGCCCCACGGCTCGGTGTCCAGAGCCTGCCCGCACCTCCGTGCAGGCGCTTTCTGCTGGCTAATTCCGTTGCACCTTGGAAAAACGCGAAGGGATCTGGAAGCACTACCCACTCTTTTCCCTGCTGTTTGTATACGAGAAAGTTTCACACGTGTGACTGTTGCTTTCGTTGTGCAGAGGGCAAGTCTTATGGATGATCAGAATCATARAACCACCAGTGCAAACATTTCCATGCAAGATAGCAAACAAAATTTTTAAGTCTTCTCCATTCCTTGGAGCTGGTCCCTGAAGTCCCTCAAATACCTTTTGAATGTGAAAACACACACTCACTTGTTTATATATTGATATATAAGTTCATAGAGATATACACACAAAGAGAATTAAAAGGACCATACACTATGTACATGTATATATTACCTGAGAACATAGTTTGATTTAGGTAGCAGCACTTAAATTCTCYGGTTGGTACATGAAAGTACAGGAGTGTGAATGGGAGAAAAAGGAAGAGGAAATGTATAATTTGGTAGTAGTCTGGATGCCACAGAGATTTTCCTCAAATACGACTAGTGTTGCCTTCCAAGCACTCACATTCAGAAGGAGAGGGATGGAATAAACCAGGGCAGAACGCGTGTGTCTGGAGGGGCTCCAGGACGCCCCACATGCTGGTGCTGCTCATGGTGGGGTATGAGGTGGGGCACGAGGCTGTGGGGCAGAGGCAGCAAGTGCCCAGCGGGCCCACACGGCCGCTGTTGCTACGCTACAAGGTTCGAATATTTCTTTATCTTCTTTTTTTTTTCCCATTTCTTTCCCCTCCCTACCACCCTCTGCTCCCCTGTCTTCCCTTCACCCCTCTTTTTTGCCTCTTGCTCTAGCCGAGGCTAGAGGAGCTGGAGAAGAGTGGGGCTGGTTGGAGCCCCTTCATGGGGTCGGCTGTGCCTCTGGGTCAGGGAGCTGCTAATGGGGCCCGGGAATACTCAAAGGATCATGTCTCATTGCCATGGCAAGCCACATTTCGTCATATGAGSCAGGCGCATTCATGTCAGGGAAGCGGCTTTCAATTTTAATGTGCCCTAAACTTTCTTTCTCTCCTACGCCCTGCCTGTCTGCTYGGAAAGTTGTGCTCCAGACTGTTCACAATGCAGCTATCCACAATTCATCAGGCACCTCAAGCTGCAAGTTTTTCAGAGTGCTGTTTTGGTTACAGGTTCTTAACTGCTGCTCATCTCCTGCTGATACTGCACAAAACCTGCCAAAAGCCTTCTTTTGTAGATAGAAATGAATCTGGATTAGTTTCCAGACATTCTGTCAAGAAATTATACAGCACATAAGCTCCAAAAAGCAGGTTTTGTTTCCATGGTCGTTTCAGTGCAGGCATTTGTCTGTTTTATCCACATATGGTTTGTTTTTTCAGAAAAAAAAATCAAATAATTCAAATGCACATTTCAAATGAGCGTGCTTAACAGTCAGGAATAGTTGCTTTATTTTACACAGGGCTTTTAGTGGTTCAGTGTGGCTGTACACTTCCCTTTTGTGTTGCTTAACATCAAGAGTAATCCAACAGCAAAATAAGTAGGTCTAGCAATTTTCACTTGATTTAGCATTTCTTTTTTAATTATGTGTATAATTCTAAATGTTGATCTTGTATGGGTGGTATGCAAATCGATATGCACATCTGCTAATTTAAATGGTAATGTTAATAAGAATAAGCTCATATCTTAACCTCACACTGTTCAGTAATGTGCAACATCCAACCCTTTTATCTCTTTTTATTCTCTCTAGCACTGCAGTGATAACACCCATCATTGCCAATCAGATATGAACATAGTAGGTGCTTGGAAGAGAGGCTACACTGGAAAGAATGTTGTGGTCACCATCCTGGATGACGGCATTGAAAGAAACCATCCAGACTTGATGCAGAATTATGTGAGTCCACAGTAGTCCAGATTTGCTGCTTTATGTAGACTGCAATAAATCTGGTGCTGATAGAGAGATGAACATATTCTCATTGCTGTAGGGAGGAAAAGGGAGGAGGGAAGGAGGAGACTCATACGACCAGTTCTTCAAAGGGTAACACCAAAAGGAAAAAAATGTTCTTCCAGGAGAAAAAATGTTGCTTTTGGTAGTATGTGTTCTTTTAAGACTATGCACAGTCTGAATGTCTGTAGTATCTGGATGCCTTTGATAACCGAGTCTTGCATTTCTGAAGAACTGTAACCAATCATCTGAAGTTCCTTCTCTGCAGTTATTTTACTTATTATCCTCACACTCTCAACTCTCTCAGAGATTAGGAATAGAATATGCTGCTTTCGAGTTAATCCATGCAGCTGGAATCCATTTTTGGCCAATATATTTCGCTTGCAAGACAGCAGATCTTCTCAAAGTGCTGTTATTTTAGGCACACTCTTCTTTTTCTTTTTAGAGTTATTTATCGTATTGATAGAAACAGTATTAAAGGGAAATGACATGACTTGTTGTGAGTTGCTAAGTTAAGAATAGATACAGAATGATTTCAAGGGTTTTTCTAGTAAATCTCTGTTGACTCCAAGAGTCCCTCCACAATTTGTATTAGGAGGAGAACTGTCTTGTTTACCATATATTTCATATAACCTCAGAATGTGTCTGTTTGCATTTATATGATTAGTTTAATATACCTTGGCAGGACTGCAAAACATAGGCAGAGGCTGCCTCACTAGTAGGTGATTTCTTGATTTATTGTTACACTTTGAAGCTGTTTACAGTGCAGGGCTATGCTTTGCTGGAGTGATTTTTCAAGCATTCCCATATTTCAAGAAAAGGTACTCATTAATAGACACATGACCTTGAGAACCTTACTATTTCTCTGAAATGAAATGTGCAAGCTCTGTGTTCACAGAAGATGAGAAAACAAACACATTTGGACTGTGTCAGACTGATGAAGATGACCAAAACAGGGCAGTTGTGTACACCTTCATACCCCAAACACAGGTAGATCTTCTACAAGAGGCGCATGCTGAGTAAGCATTTCTGTCATATTGACACAATGTCACATTGACATAATGTCATATTGACATTATATTCAASAGATGAAGAGGATCACAGAATCACAGAATATTCAAGGTTGGAAGGGACCTCTAGAGATATCCAATCCCCCCTGCTCCAGCAGGGACACCCAGAGCATGGGGCACAGGGCGGCATCCAGGCGAGTTGGGAAGATCTCCAGAGAAGGAGACTCCACAGCCTCCCTGGGCAGCCTGTGCCAGGGCTCTGGCACCCTCACAGGAAAGAAGTTCCTCCTCACATGCAGATGGAACTGCCTGTGTGTCAACTTATACTCATTATGCCTTGTCCTGTCACTGGCCACCAYTGAGAAGAGCTTGGCCCCTTCCTCCCTACATTCTCCCCTCGGGTACTTATACACACTGATCAGATCATCGATCCTCTTCTCCAGGCTAACCAGGCCCAGCTGATTCTTTCCTCATTAGATCCAGTCCCTTAATCATCTTTGTYRCTCTCCGCTGGAGCCTCTCCAGAAGCTCCACATCCCTCCTGTCCTGGAGAGCCCAGAGCTGCCCCCAGTGCTCCAGGTTTGGCCTCCCCAGAGCTGAGCAGAGGGGCAGGATCCCCTCCCTGCCCCTGCTGCCAACATCCTCCTCATGCAGCCAGGAGCCCATTGGCCTTCTTGGCCACGAGGGCACTGCTGCCTCATGGCTAACTTGGGAGCTGCTCTCCAGCAGGTCGACCCCTAATCTGTCCTGGTGCCTGGGGTTATTCCTGCCCAGGGGCAGGACCCTGCACTTGTCCTTGTTGAACCTCAGGAGGTTCCTCTCTGCCTAACACTCCAGCCTCTCCAGGTCCCTCTGGATGGCAGTGCAGCCTTTCGGAGTGTCGGCCACTCCACCCGGCTTGGTGTCATCTGCAGACTTGCTCAGGGTGCTCTCAGTGCCCTCGTCCAGGTCACTGATGAAGAGCTTGAACAGGACTGGGCCCAGTACTGACCCCTGGGAGACGCCACTGGCCACAGGCCTCCAACGGGACTTGGCCCCATTTATCACCACCCTCTGAGCTCTGCCATCCAGCCAGTTCTCAATCCACCTCGCTGTGCACTCATCCAAATCACAACCCTGGAGATTTCCTATGAGGATAGTATGGGAGACAGTGTCAAAAGCCTTGCTGAAGTCAAGGTAGACAACATCCACGGCTCTCCCCGCATCCAGCTGGCCAGTCATCCCATCATAGAAGGCTATTAAGTTCGTCAGGCATGACTTCCCCTTGGTGAATCCATGCTGACTACTCCCGATCACCTTCTTCTCCTTCATATGCCTGGAGATTCTCTCTAGGATGAGCTGCTCCATCAGCTTTCCAGGGATGGAGGTAAGGCTGACCAGCCTGTAGTTGCCCGTCTCCTCCCTCTTGCCCTTTTTGAAGACTGTAGGGATTCTTCCAGTTCTCTGGCACCTCTCCAGCTCTCCAGGACCTCTCCAAGCTGATGGAGAACAGCTGAGCAACAACCCCCACCTCAGCACTCCTCAGGACTTCTGGGTGCATCCCATCCAGGCCCTTAGATTTACAGATTTCCAGTTTGCCTAAATAACCCTTCTCACAATCCTCCTCGACCAGCAGGAAGTCTTCCTCTCCTGGTTCTCTCTCGTATACTGCTCCCCATGTACTTCATGGGGAGCAGTAAAGACAGAAGCAAAGAAGGCATTTAGCAGCTCTGCCTTCTCTGCATCCTCCGTCACCAAGGCCCTCTCCCCAGTCAGCAGYGGGCCCACATTCTCCCTGCYCTTCCTCTTGCAGCTGATGTATTTGGAGAAGCCCTTCCTGTTGTCCCTGACATCTCTCGCTAACTCTAATTCCAAACGGGCCTCGACCTCTCTAATTGCAGCCCTGCATTCTCTGACACTGTGCCTATATTCCTCCCATGTGGCCTGGCCCTTCTTCCACATTATGTATGTGCTCTTTTCCTCATTAAGATTACSCAACAGCTCCTTGCCCATCCACGCAGGTCTCCTGACCACTTTGCTCGACTTCTTTCTTGTGAGAATGCCCTGATCTTGAGCTTGGAGAAAGTGATGTTTGAATGTTAGGGTCATAGAATCATTAACAGGCCATCAGAACTACAATCGTGTCCACAGTTCTAAAGACTATGGACAAAATTTTAAAATTTTAAAATTTTGTTTGCCATGCATATCTGTATCCTGCGTGTGAAACAACTTTAAAAAACATGAGGACTGCAAAGCACTAACAAGAAAATATTGTCTCATTTGTCAACACATGCCTAGTTTGATCATATGCTACATCTTTCATTTTAATCTCTGAAGTCATATGAACCAAATATACCAAACCAACCCAAATATACTTCTACTTCCTCACTGAATGACCCAGACTGTAGCAGATGTCACTTCATCCCAGTACTATCCTTCCACTGAATTTAAAGCATGTATTTTTTCCCATACCACCTCCTCTTTCCTTTTCCTTGTGCCAACAAGGAATTCCCCTAGAGCAGTACACATTGCTTGTTTTATGACAAATGCCTTCTATATGTTGGACTACTGCTGGTGTGGCTGCAAACAGGAATATATCTGAGGTGGATGTGGTAACGGGTTGTGAACAAAGAATAGATTAAAAAAGAGCTGCTTACCATGTAAACACACCACACACCACCACATCAATTAATGGGAGCCATACAAACCAGCAGCTATTTGCTCTGTAAGCTATTTTCAGCTCTAAGAATCTCGGTAAACATAAAATATGGAGCAAAAATACASAGATATTTTGCATATATTTAAAGCAGTTGTACACGCAGATGAATGAGGGGATGTTTAGAGAGATGCTTTTTATTTCCAAATGTTCCAAATGTTTCTAATAGTTGCATTTTAAGCTGTGTTTTAGTAAAAATACTTGTGGTAAAATGTTATCATTTGTGTTCTTTGAAGCTCTACATAAAATTTCAGTCATCATCTTGTAAATAATTTCTGTTATCTTGAAACATTTAGCAAAATTCAGATTTTGCAAATAAATACTCTTAATTTCCAAGTTTCATAGAGGGATTATAATCTCTTGTCATAATRAAACACCTCTTTCTACTTCCTCACAGATATTGGAACTAGGCTTTTCAGGGCATTTTTTATCCTCATTTTTTTTTGAAAGGGGAAATAAAATGTCTAAATCCTGTAATTATAAGATTATAATCATTTCCTAATAAATGCAATTGTTAAAAAAACTGCAGGAACGTTAGTTCACCTAATTAGTGTCTTGTAGGAACCTGCTAAAGAGAGTGTAGGTCAAATGAGTCAATGACTAATTAATGAGAAACTGGTTTTCTTTGTCTTGTTGGCTGCAGGATTCGCAGGCTAGTTTTGATGTCAATGGAAACGATTTTGACCCGATGCCGCGATACGATGCCAGCAACGAAAACAAGTAAGACACTCATGACATTTTCTATGCAGTTCTTCAAGTAGAATTTACCAATTCTGCTACAGAAGTCTAGGGAACTTGAGTCTTCATAAATCAGTGTGATCTGCATTTAAATCTCTGTGAAATATGTGTTTATGTCTCTCCCACGCACACTGTATGATACTCATTCTTTGAGCGTATTTAGAGACATCTGAGAATACATAAAAATAGCTTGAAAGTTCTGGGTGTATGAAGTGAAGCACTTTCATCCCCCTTGGGATGCATAGTGAAGGAGGAGGTACACCTTTTCTAGGTGTCRTCTCAGTGAGTTATTGAGGATATATTATTTGTGAGAACTGCCATAGCTTCGGACTCTCTTGAGCTTTATAGACCTGGCATTTTGAAGAAATATGTAAGTTAAGAAAGTTTTTACTCTCTAGCCATCTGTTTAAAACTCTAATGGCAATTTAACATACAGAACTTTGCTAGACACCATACAGAACCAAGAAATAGCAATTCTTTCTTTTTATAGTTTCCAAGGATGGTTAAATGTATTTATATGAGAGCGCTGTCTTTCTGCATCAGGTATTTGGTGTCTGTCATCCTAACCCTGCTCTTCTTGGGACATACCATGGCAAAGACTCGGGGGAAAACTGGGAAGGGACATCTCRACTTAGGCTGAGATGGGTACCTGAAGGCAGTTATTTGTCAGTTWAATTTTAAGCATCTACTTGTATTAGAGGAATTAACATCCAGCTAGTTGTCAAAATGCTATCTGTGCATTTTGTTTTACTCGTTTTTCTTTTTTCAAGGAAAACACTGAGTATTACTTGCCTACAGAAGAGAGAGAATGGGATGAAACCTTTTACTTTAGCAGCTCAAATTATTTGGGATTTGTGTTCTTCCCATATGATCCTGCAGACATACTCCAGTATAATACAGCTGTTCTGGGCTAATTCAGTTCAAAGTCAGCCACATGGAGTTACATTGGCTTGACTGGAGAAACCAACTGGACAAAGCTTGGAGCAAGTTTAGATAAGAGAAYACATTCTTTGTCAATTCTTTCTGTATAATAGGAGGAAAAATACATGAACAGGCTGAAGGTCAGAAGCGCGTTACACATCTATTTACTTGTTGCATATAGCTTCCTCTGTCCTACAGTCAATCTCAGGGAGCTGTGATAGCTACCTTCAGCCATATGAAAACTATGAAAACTGAGATGAATTCAGTCSAATTATTGCTTGGTCAGTCAGCCTGGTTCTACATAACTATGGGTAAGCCAGGATGAGAACTATGTGAGGATTTAACTCTTTAAAAATATATGTATATAGGTACATATATATTTACACATACATATCTAGGTTGTGATAATTAAAATATTATTTAACGTAAAAATATATTATACCAATAACACCTGGAATAATAAAATAATTTATTTATTTGTGGTTGCAATCTTAGCATATGTTCCTATTCAGTTGTTCTTATTTTATGCTGTATAAATGCTGCCAAATATTTCTGTCTAGAAACAAGTACATGCAAGAACTATTTCTTCTCTCCCCTTTTGGCTCTTAGGCATATCTTTCTCATTCTATTTTCATACAGAAGCTCCATTTACTGAATCGTGTCTGCTTCTTCTTTAGTAGAAATTTCCCAARGCAAGAATGAGTAAAAATAGTGAAATATAGTAAAACTCTTTGCTTTGAAATGCATAAACATGCTGCACATATAGGTTAGTGTAACATTTAGCAAAAATAAAGCACTGGTGTAGAACAAATGATGGAAAGAGCCAGTTGCCACATTGACTCAGTTAAGTTAGTGACAAGCCAAGGATATCTGATCCATGTTCCCATAAGGAAAATGCTCATGCTGTACTAAAGTTGTCAGGAAATATTCCCAAGACTCTGTTCAATGAAACAGAAGAATAAATTTAAAAGTATATCAATTCCTGCTCTTTTCAAAAAGTCTTTTACTTCTCTTAGAGTTGAGGAATTTCATTTGCTTTGCTTAGAGATAGCCAATAGCTGTCACAGAGATGTCAGAATCAGTAAATTTATTAAAAATAAGTGTTTATAAAGAGAAATAATACGTTTAGCTTAGATGATGACATCAGACTATTGGCTAATGTTTAAAACACATTGTTCACCAGAAAACAGAGTACAAACTTAGAAAACTGAGTCACCTATAGCCTTAAGCATAGAGGCACTGCCAGACTGCCTGCTGCAGCACCTAGCTTGTGCATGACTGACCGCTTAAACACAAGGCCTAGGCTGAAATTAGGTGCTGGTGTGTTTGCCTTGTGGTCATATCCTGACTCATCTGTGTGAAGACATTCCTGTTCTTGGAGTTGCACTGTGGGCAGTGGACAGTTGGAGATCTCCTAGATGAAATGAGGGATGTGCGCTCCTCGTCAAGTGGGAGAATTTGAAGGATTCACCCTCTTTGTTTGGTGATGTGAGGAGACATGTCTCTAGCTGAGCCTTTGCATTTAGGTGGCCATCTCTTTCTCACAAAAAAATGTCCCCAAAAGGAGGCCATCTTCCCTTTCACTGACAATTAGATGTAGATATAGGATATAAACTGGGCAGATTGATATATCTCCTCAGGCTTTGTATTTTCTGATCCAGCCTCTGTGGTGAACACTTCCACTGCCTCATTCCCAAAGGCCTGAGTGGGACGCGGTGGTGGGGAGCTCACCTGGGAGGTGGACTGTGCTAACCAAACGTTGTCGGGAGGCCTGACCTCAGCCACAGGCCAGAGCCTGTGTTTGGACACATGGGTGCCTCGGAGCATGGAAGGGCTTTAAATGTGGGCAGCCCAAGCTCTGCACAGAGATCTGCTCTGYCTTGTGGACCTGCAGATATACCAAGACTGGTAAGCATTGCTTCAGCATCGTCAGCATTTTGTGGCTCTTGCCCTTCCTGCCCTCCTTTCTGCTAGACTCAACAGAAATTAAATGACTACATAAGCATTAAGGAGACTTATTAGCAGCCCATGCATATTTTTGTGTGTCCAACATATCCTTTAAAATCTTAGCAGGAATTATGATTTTCCAGTATATGTGGTCATTTGGCACTTGTTATCTCAAGTTGTGCCTGGAAGTTGAGGTAAGCACAACCAGGGAACGCTCTGAAAGCCTTACTTTACAGAGTAAGGCTCTGTAACATGCAAGATCAATTTAGTTGATGCCTGATTCCTGCTATAGCAACTAGACAACATTGCGTAATGGCAACTTGTATCTTCCAGTAAAGGTGGGATGTGCAAATGTGATATTGCTTCTCAAAAKGGTCTGATTTCTTCTTCTTCATTTTATAAATTGTATTTGAGGGGTGGAATGATAAAGAGCGAAAAGAAATGCGGTAAAAATGAGCAGGTGTCGGTGCAGCTTTACAAACAGCTGTGAAACATCAGGGTACTGGATCTGTTTGCTCTCTTTTCTCCTTTAATTAATAATGAAGGCTTTCTGTTGCTGAGGCTTATTAGTAAGGAAAAAGGAATTAGCTGTGGATTTGTAAAGAGACTGTAGATAACCAGAATGCCACTTTACAGAATTAATATTTTTAAAGTTTAAAGTGAAATCTTCTCTTAGCTAAAAAGAACAACAGGACAGAAAGAAACATCAGATTAAATTTCAAGCCTTGTAGTCAAAACCAGGGTGGGACGATAGTTTCTTTAACTACTATGGTATGTAGGAGTCCTGCCAGAAGTTTACTTCGGTTTCTACAAATTGGCAGCAAATCATGAAGCTTGTAAATGGTACAGGCCTATACTAGAACTTCCTTTTGCTCAGAGGCTAGAGACAGCAGTCAGCTGTGGATGAAGTCATTCCTGCTATGCAAAGCATCTTATTTTGGTTTGCTGCTTGCTAAGCTCAGCTGCTTAATTATTTTTCTCTTATTCCACTGTTACATGCGTGTTAAAACAACTAKGCATTATCAGTTTGTAGAAAGAACACAGACTGTCTTAAGTTATACCCTGCCCACTGAATAGCCTCAGAAATTAAACAGGAATATCTGTACCATAAAATATATTTTTACTTGGACTAGACAAAAATATATTTTTATGTTTCATGAAAAAATTCGGGGGGCTGATATTTCAGAGCTTAGGTTTCATTTGGACACTTTTAAAAACAGGTATGTTTTAAAGAAAAACTGCTTTAAAGAATACCCGTTGCAAGAATACTCACATTTTTCTGTGATACATAGGAACTGTTACTTTAATAACCTTCTAAGTTGTATTTCAAAGAGCTTGTGAAAGAAAAATGTGTGAAGTCAAAGACTTTTTGCTGTTAAAAAATGATAAGTACAAGCTACTCTTTGATTTCTTAATGTCCAGACTTTTCAATATCTAAACAGTTTTATATCTTATGTCACAATGGCAAAAAAGTTAATGAGCTAATGAATTTCAATCCTGCTCCATCTCACATAATGACATTGTTTTTCAGTGGCAGACCAGTACATCCATTCTAATCTGTTACTGCTTTCCTTTATCTGTCACGTTAATGCTGTTGCTCAATAAAATGCCAAGGGCTTAATTTTCTTCCAGCAGTGACAAGCTGCTAGTTTACAGCAGCTGATTTTGTAGAAGACCTCTAGTATGTCCTAAATTACTTAATCAGAACAGATATTATATGTTTAACAGGCAGATCAGCTTCTGTTGCCTCCCGAATGGTCAATAGGATGGAAGTGGGAACCTGCAGGACTTTGCTGTGCCTCTGTGCAGAGCGGGTCTCAGAAGAACCGAGCACGGTCAGAGCCAGCGAGACTGAAAGTCTCTCACTGAYGGCTTGAAAGATCAGAAAAGTTCCTCTTAACAACACCATTATAGAAAGAATATTTAAATGTAAATGCGGGTATCTGTCTATAGAGTTTCTGCATTTTGATTGCCAATATGCAGCTGTTGCTGCTGCTTTGAAGCTAGCGTATCGTGTATTGAAGACAAAACTGAAGGGAAGATAAGATGGATGGCAAAGCATTGCTGTACCATCTTGTGCTTTATCGTTTGGATAGAGACCAATGACGTTTCAG